CCCCAAAACCCCAAAACCCCAAAACCCCAAAACCCCAAGGTATCTGGGATATATTGAAAATTTCCACAAATCTGACTCTAATTTAAGCACCAGAAATTAGAATTACTAAAGTTTTTCCTGTTTATTCAGCTTTCGGATTTCCTCTACCTCTTTCTGAAGCTGTCTTATGTACTTGAAATCATGTGGATTCCTACGTTTCTTAAGAAAAGGGTTCCATAATTTACGGTTTAGCCTAGCATCAAGTACTAATTCAATCATTTTCTCATGACTCAGGAACATTTTTGGCCTATCTGCGAGTTTCTGGAGTCCTAGTATTTTTATTTACTAAATTACTGTCATCAGGCTTGGCCTCTTCTTTCTCATCTTCTTCTAGAGAAAGAAGTTGGTACTGGTTCTTCGGATTTCTTCTCTTTTCATATCATCTAAGATTTGCTTCCTTGCTAATCTGTAATCTCTAAGATGTTTGAGCTTGATGTAAAACCTAAAATTGTTGCCGTCTTCTTACTTTGTGTGCTTGATGTACATATTTCGAACTTTATAAGGTACGATAAATCGGATTTCACCTTTCCACTCCTTCCTGATCTTGATTATCTCTAGGCTTGCCTTCTTTGTCTTCCTTGAGTCTTGGTTAAAAACAACATTTTCGATGAGAAACCAATGGAAATGGGTTATTATTTTAACTAATTTTCTTCTAAATAAGAGCTTTTTGAATACAGCTTTGATCCTTCTCAACTCAGGCGAGGTCATCAAGATCATTTTCGAGATATCCTTACATTGAGAGTTATAACTGTGAATGAAAGCTAATTCTTTGTCGTTTTTAATACCTTCTAGAATCTTCCGTACCCTACGACGTTTGATCATAGGCAGAAGTAATGGTCCCAGGGCTTGAATAGCTTTTTTATTTACGTATTTCTCGAAGAAATACTAGAAACTTCCCTGTTGCTTTCATTGCAACACAGAACCATCTACATAACTTGTTCGAGGAATGCCTGATTTTATATTTAGCTTCGAACTTAGCTGAGATATCTTCTCAGATTGCTCTCTTCATAGAGTTGATCAGATAGCTGTCGTTGATCTTTCAATATGAACTTTTGTGCCAGTTGAAATGTGCCGACATTCTAATGTCTAGGAGTTATGTAAGAAATTACCGAAAATTGTCTTCCTCATTTTCGATGCTTCTAGAGATTTATCATGGTAGTCAGAGATAATATTGGTGTACCTCTCTAATACTTCCTGTCTACGTTTACTCTGGGTCTTAGCCTTGGCAAGAATCCTCTGCTTATTTGTACTCAACTCCCACTCCTGGTTCGATCTTGTACTTTGGAGAACGTCGGCTTGGGTCAGTTGATATTTCCTGTGAGAAATCACAAGCATCAATGTTTTTCATAATGATTTCCGAGTCAAACATACTTTTCTTCCCCAAGAAAATCCGGACATAATGTTCTTTATCATAATGCTTGAGGTGCAAATGGCTGAACTTTTGGAACCCTTTGTGGGACTTCTCCTTAGATTCCACCTTTATCTTGCTATTTTTCATTGATTTCCTTGAAAAGTCTATTTAATTTCTCTCTTTTAGTCTCTTTAGAGCTGAGTTTTTCGAATAAATTTGGGGTTTTATTTAGGTTTCCTTCTTTGATCGATTGATCTTATTTCAATATTCTTGCGGCCAAATCGGAAACTACTAGAACATCTGTTTTTGGTAGTGCATCTATCATTGGGTTTGTAGTACCCTGGTCCGACTGGGTCGAATTTCTTATCTTTGAAAGTGATGAAATCATCATGGGCCTTTGAGAAAGAACTTGATCTAACTTCATCCCTCGTTGGATCTCTTAATGAACCTATTCATGATAAATAATATAAAATTACTCAATCCTTGGCTCTGAGTTGTTGTATCGTTAAACATCTTCCTTTCACTGCGTGGGAAAGTAAATCCTTCTGAATGAAAGGTAGTGCTGAATTTCTCATTTACACCTGCAAAATAGCTATCTGGCCCTGGAACAAATTCTTTATGTTTTGTTCTATGTTTGAAAGTATCTCTTACTGGAATACATCATAATTTTCAGGTTTTCCAAACCGTTGAGCCTTACCACTGATCAGATCTGAAGGGATAAGGTACCCTCATGGACCAGGAGTGCTATCTCGGTGGTTATTATCTTGGAATAATCTCCCAGTTCTGTTATGCAGGGTTACGCTAGGTGTTCTTCTACCTGTCAAGTTACTATTTACAGTTGCTAATAGTGAACATGAGATTTGATTAAGACTGAATAGTGCGAAATTACGATCCTTACTTCTTTGGCCTAGAGGTACTCTTCTTTGATGACTTGCGGTCCCAATAAACCTGTCTGTCTCTGTTATAAATAAGTCTTTCATTTTATTCAAATTTTACTAAATATTTTGGGGTTTTGGGGTTTTGGGGTTTTGGGGTTTTGGGG